GGGGCCGGGTTTGAGCCAAATTTGGGATTTTTGGTCTAATTTGATAGTTCTCATAGGGAATTCATTTCTTTAGCGTATATTGATGATAATATACTGATTTTGGTTAGATTCAGAGCATTTGGAGGCCGAGTCGAGCGGCGAGGGCATTACAGAGTAGAATTTCATTCGGATTGAGGTAAGTAATGATTGTAAATGTTGTCTTGAGGGTATGAACCCCGGATTTCACATCGTTATGCTACTTTGAGGTGACACAAACGTTAGACGACGAGCGTGGGGTCGTGCACCGTTGGGGATTGTGACTTGGTCTATCCCGTACGACTATTAAGTCGCGTATTTGATTGAAAACTATTTGATATCATTGTGTTTTGGAAAGTATTACTATATTTTGGGCGGAATGCCATATTTGGGCCTAGTGGCAACTATTTGGACCCTTAGGGGCTTTTACTACTATTTCTCACTGTTTTGACTTAATATTTGTACTCAATCATGCTGTATTTTATTGATTTCATAACCTAGCCGTATTTACTCCGTTTTGATACTTTAAATGATATTTTGGGCTGAGCACCCTATTTTTACTATTAGCCCGAGTGGCTTGAGAGGTTTTCTGACTGAGTGAGGCCGATGGCCGGTGTTGTGAGGATATGATGGGATCAGGCTGCACGCCGCAGCAAGTTATTACTGATTCATGATATATGTGAGGCCAAGGGCCTGATTGATTTATGCCACGAGGTTGCTTGTGATTATGTGAGGCTCAAGGCCTAATTGATTATGCCACGAGATGGCTTGTTATAGCGCATGGACTATAGGAGCCCCTCCAGGAGTCTGCACACCCCCAGTGCGTAGGTATGTGATAGCACGTGAGTTGTCCGTGCAGATTGTAGTGCGTGGGCTGTAGGAGCCCCTCCGGAGTCTGTACACCCCTAGTGAGCGCGGGTACCCAGTGTGAGTGATGTGATGTAGCCCGGGGGGCTGTTGTTGTTTCATGTTGTTGCCCGAGGGGCTGTTATTGATCCATGTTTTGCCCGAGAGGCGGTTCTTGATTCATGTTATGCCCGATGGGCTGATTATGAGTTATTGTAAGGTAGCCCGAGGGGCTGGTTCTGTTGATATTTTGCCCGAGGGGCAGTTTATGGTACATGTTTTTGCCCGAGGGGCTGTTTACATTTCTATCATTTTTACTCACTGTTTTATCACTCGTTTGAAACTATTGAAAGTTGTTTTAAAAGGTTTTACTGAAACTGAGCTTGATTTACGAATTAAATGATTTCTGTACTATTTTGGAAATGTACTGCATTTGCTGTAGCGTTATGACGTGGTTTACCTATTTTGTTACTGCTCAGCTTTCACTTACTTTTATTACTTACTGAGTTGGCGTACTCACATTACTCCCTGCACCTTGTGTGCAGATTCAGGTATTTCTAAACCCGGTAGCAGGTGTTGATTGCTCAGTGGCAGAGTCATCGGAGTTAGCAAGGTAGCTGCCCGACGTTCGCAGCCCTGCTCTTCTCCCTCTTGTCTTTCTTAGACTATTTTTAGTATATTTTCAGACTCTTCGTTGTATTCAGACCTTAGTAGATGCTCGTGACTTGTGACACCCCGATGTCGGGCTTGTGTATTTATTCTGCACTGGTTATTTAGATTTATACAATGAGATTTCTTATTAATTAATGGCTTAAAAATTACTTTTATAGAATGATGGTTTGATTTGCGAATCGTGTCGGCTGGTCTAGTTTCAAGATAGGCGCCATCACGGCCGGGTCGGTTTTAGGATCGTGACAACATATCTACATTTTGATAAGTTGGCATTAGTTGTAGCTGCCCTAAATCTAAGGCTTTATTTTCAATGTCATTCAATTCTCGTAGTCACTATATTTTCATTACGCAACATTTTGCATAAACATGAACTGTGAGAAAGGCTAGCTAAATGAGTAGTCGAACTTAGTGAATATGGTATTATTTATCAGCCACGTATGACTATAAAATCACAAGTTTAGCAGATTTCATGATTAATCTTAGCTCAAACATATTATCCGAAGCTGAAAAGAAAGTAGATGTTATTTCTGGGATAATTCTCGGGATATAGACCTTCTACACAATTAGGTCCACAAGTACTAAATTTCCCGAGTTACACACAATGCTTAATGCATATCAGGGAAACTAGTTAGATAATTCATAAAAGTTATTTTATTACTAACAACAAAGCCGAGTATGAAGCATATGCTACAGGGCTTGAATTAGCTGGGGGACTTAGAGCAAAAATATTGATTTAACGATTGATCAAATCCAAGAAAACTATACAGCCCAAGAAAATCAAGCCAGATGTGCTAGTCTCCGATCTACTACTGATATCACTGGCTCTGAAAGCAACTCCGAGCTCTTATTGAGAAATATCGTCCGGATCAAACAGTCTCGCGATCGAGCCATCATCGTTTTCGAGTTCCGTATGTTTTTCCTTTCCAGGAAATGGACCACATGGAAGGAATAATCAAATGCTCGAGATTTCATACTTCAAAGCTCTAACACTTGGGGGACTATATATATGGAAGGCAAAGAAGACTAGAAAAATCAGAATTCAAGTCAAGCCTAAGGTCTACCTAACAAATCGAAAGTTAAGAGCAATGTCACGAGCCACAAACGCAAGCCTGATTCAAAAAACCTGTGAAGAATACACTCGTGGATGTAAATTTCAAAATCTTACGAATGTTTAGGTTAAAGGCAATATTTAATCATGGGTTTCAAGATATACCCTTGAATTTTTTACAAATCTGTTGTAAAGAAAACAGTTACGAAACATGTGTGTTCCTATTTCTTCTTTCGTATGTTTACACCACTATGAAGTTGAGACGTCTTCTTCATTAAGTGTCGTTCATAAAAGCGCCCCTTTTATAATTCGTGCTTATTCAAAAAAGTCACGAAGCATTGAAGCATTTTTAATGCAAAGTTAAATAACAAAGGGTGAAACAAAAACCCATGCATTAAAATAGGCAGAAAATAAAGCCAAAATTTATATATCAAACTTTGCAAACATAAGGCAAACATTTGTCTTCAAACCCCGAAACAAGACAGGGGTAAACCAACCGATTATTGACGAAAGGAACCTAAGCGGTGGAGTTGTCATCTGAATCTCTAAGTTATGCACTCTTTTTTCCTTCGTCCGGTTTTTGTTCCTCCAAGTACGAGGTACACTATTACCCGCCATGTGGGTCTATTAAATGGTGACACGTGTCAGCAAAGTTTGGACAAAAGTGAAGAATGACATGTAAAGATGATATGTGAAACACCCCCGGGACCGAGCATACTCGTACCATGCCTGTTAGTCTCGGAACTGATCATCATAAAATAGCCCCGATCAGGTACGGGAGAATATCTCATAATTACAAATGAGGAAGGAATCAATTAATCTAGGATTATATGGGATTTACCATCATTACACCATCAGTTACAAATCAACTATTAATAAATGCAATAAATGATTGCAACGGTCAGAACAAGGCAATCAATTACAAGATTGACTCAACAGGCACGAGATTGACTCAACAGGCACGGGATTGACTCATCAGTTACGAAATTAGCTCATCAGTTATGGAATTAACTCATCAATTACGGAATTAACTCATCAATTACAGAATTCCAGCATTTACACAGCTGTTACAAGTCTTCCAAAAGTAATGAATGGATTGAGTAAATGCTCATAATGGACCCATAATTCAAGGAGAATAGTTACATAGATTTAGCCCTATAAATAGACATACTTTTACCACCATGAAGGGACTCTAATTTTCTTCTCTACAATTTTATACATTGTAATTCATAGCATCTTGCTCTCAAGTTAGCCATAGTTCGGCCCTTCAAGCTCTGTTCGGCTCATTATCCTATCAAGGATCATTCAATAAGAACTCTTTCTTCGCTGCTTTATTTTTATTATATTATCTGTCATTGAATTTATTTTTCACTTCTCTATCACGTTNCATTAACGAAAATTTATATCTTTCGGATTGAATCGGTTGCTTGTGGCCCATCATATAAAATTATTGCTTTGACCTTGAAAACTATTTTTTGGGTTAAACACTATTCATCTCCCCCATTACTATGCATGCATATTTTATTATTTAACTCTTTTAATTTAACTCTTTATATATACCTAATTATATTTATGTAATATATTTATAATATTAATTTTACATCTTAACTTTGGCGTATAATTTTGATAAATTAATTTTCGTGCATTTATTATTTTTATGTAAAATTGTAAGTTAAGTTTATTGTAAGTTATAATTGTACAAAAAATATATAATCATCTCAAAAAATGAATGGTGCAAATATAAAATATTAGATGTTGCTATAATTGAAAGGTGCGAATATAAAATATTAGATGTTGCTAAAATTGAAAAGTGAAAATTGAAAATACATTAAAATTGGAAATACATGAAAATTAAAAATACATTAAATTAAAATACATAATTGAAACTATGGTAAATAGCATAATAACTTAGTAGGGAGGTATGCCGTTTCCAAATACACCAAAATCATTATAGTATTGAGTGAATGGGGCCGAGGATTGTTGTGGTTGTGACTGTAGATATTGTTGAATTCTTTTATACATTATTTGTTGTTGTTCTTATCGCATAAATTCACGATGAGTTGAACTCTTAGTTTTTCTTTTTGAACAGTCAAAACTTCTTTTTTTGCCTCGGTTGCATTATTCATTGCCTCAAGCATCCGATTATTTTCTGATTGGATTGTCTTCATATAATCTTCGTCATTTTTCTCTTCATCTTTGCTTTCTTAACCCCACTAGGCCGTTGTGATGATGTGGATCACCTGCAACATCCTCATTTAAATTTAGTGAAAATGATNTATAAGTTATAATTGTAACAAAATATATATAATTATTTTTGGTAATCAATCGAGATCGTGAAGGTGCTGATAATAATTTATTTCTTGATTATTTTTCAGATAATCCCCGCTTTAATGATCGCTAGTTTCGTCGTAGATATCGGATGTCCCGTAATTTGTTCCTCCGAATAGTTGATGAAGTTAAAGGTCATGATATGTACTTTGTACAACGTGCCGATGCTATGGGTAGATTTGGATTATCTACTCTACAAAAAATTACAGCCGTTTTTAGAATGCTGGCATACGGTTTGCCAGCGGATGCCACTGATGAATATGTGAAAATTGGAGAGTCGACTGCAATTGAGAGCCTGAAAAGATTTTGCCGAGCTGTCGTAGAGGTTTTTGGTGAGCAGTATTTGAGATCACCAACACCTAACGATGTTGCAAGGCTTCGGCACATCGGTGAACAACGTGGCTTTCCAAGAATGCTAGGCAGTCTAGACTGCATGCATTGGAAATGGAAAAATTGTCCAACAGCATGGGCTGGACAATATGCAGGTCGTAGTGGATCTCCAACAATTATTCTTGAAGTTGTTGCTGATTATGACCTTTGGATATGGCATGCATATTTTGGTATGCCCGACACCAATAATGACATTAATGTTTTAGAGTCATCACATTTGTTTTCCGATCTTGCTGCAGGTACTGCTCCTCCCGCCCATTATGTTATTCAAGGACAAGAATATAATATGGGTTATTATTTAGCTTACGGTATATATCCAAAATGGTCAACCCTTATGCAAACTATTCGTGAGCCACGTTCGGCAAAGAAGAAATATTTTGCGATGAAACAAGAATCATGTCGAAAAAATGTTGAACGTGCATTCGGAGTTTAGCAACAACATTTTGCAATTGTTGCAGAACCCTCACATTTTTGGCAAAAAGAAGTGCTACATGATATAATGACTACATGTGTTATACTGCACAACATAATAATCGAGAATGAGCGTGATTTTAATGCACCAATTCAAGATGATTTGGAAGGTCCACCTCCAACAGTAGAAATGGCAACAGATGAAAATCAACAATTTCAAGAATTTTTAGCTCGGGATAGAAGAATTAAGAACAAAGATGCTCATTTTGCACTTAGTAATGCATTAATAGATCATTTATGGGAGAATACTAGAGGTTGAAGTTGAATATTTATGTAGTATTTCAAATGAATTTTATCGTTATGTAATATATATTTAATTAATCTTGTATCGCAATGATTTCACTTCTATTTGAATTATCAGTTAATCTATAATAATTGCTTACAAATTATATTATTTAAAATTTTATGAAATTATTTTAATGGAAATTACAAATTAATGAAAATAAAAGATGAAATTTGTTTAATAAAAATTAAAAAATAAAATTGAAATGAAAGATAATAATATAATATAGAAGAGAGAGAAGAATATAAAAAAGAATATTCTCTTTTTGGAAAAAATGGAAAAACGGTTGGAGTAAGTTATCCCCAAAATGGGAAAATCCCCAATTCGGGGACCAAAACTGGGGTAAATATTGGAGATGCCCTTAATGTATATTAATTGAGTCAACCACTAAGCCGAATTCTAAACCCAAAAAAAAAAGGTAAAAGAAAAAACTAGTGTTAGTTAATAGAAAAATATCCATTTCTTGTATCAATTACGGTTACAGTCTACGCAAGATTGTAACATCTCCGCAAAGATTAATTGTTCAAGAGGATTTGAATTCCAAATCGATTAGGTTTTATAATTTTAAAATGTAGCTATTTATATTATTCCTCTATGGATTCATTCATATTAAGATATTCCAACATTTGTATTTCGCGTTTAGGCCAATTGACTCTTAGTAATAATCAAAAAGTAAAGGAGGGTGTAACATAATAAGTCCTAAGGGTAGTTTGGTCATTTTACAATATCAGTTAGTTAGTCAGTTAAGACAGTTAGTTAAGAGTCTAATAGCTGTTAAGTTTGTTAGTGACGGTTAGCCTCTAATATGGCTATATAAACACATTGCGTCTATTCTCCAAAGGCTATGTGAAAATAACAGATCATTTCTCTAATTTGCTATCCTCTTCTTCGTCTCTCTCTATCTCTATCTCTCTGTATTTCTCATCTGCATAAAAAACCCAAGATTATTTCATGGTATCATAGCCCAAGTTTTTAAGAGCTTGAAACTCGATCATTCAATTCCGCAATTTGAGTAACAGTCATTCAATCCAACAATTCTGAGCAATGGAAAATGAAGATCCCATACATGGAGTTCCAGTCAATTCTACTGGAAATCAATCCGGAGGAACTGTGCCAGGATTAGCACCAAATCTTGACTACAATCATCCCTTATTCTTGAGTCCATCTGATGTGAGTGGAATTCAAATCATCTCATTTCAACTAATAGGTGTCGAAAACTACTCTCTGTGGTATAGATCTATGAGAATGGACTTGTTAGGAAGAAATAAATTGGGGTTAGTTGATGGAACCTGTTCCAAAGAAAAATTCCCAGAGAACTTGTGGAATCACTAGGAACGGGTAAATGCTATTGTGTTATCTTGGTTAATAAATTCAGTATCTAGCAATCTTCTTGGAGGTATAAGTAGTGTGGAATGATCTTCATGAGAGATTTGATAAGTAGATGGGTCAAGATACTATAAGTTACATAAAGAAATAGCCACACTAAGCCAATGAACTGCTTCAGTTTCTATGTACTTCTCAAAACTGAAAGACTTGTGGGAAGAGTTTGAAGCTTTAGTTCCTGCACCAGGATGTGATTTCCCTAAGTGAAGAGATTTCGTGTTGCATTTGCACAAACTTAAGTTATTCCAATTCTTGATGGGGCTTAATGACTCTTACAGTCAAGCAAGAAGTCTTATACCATCTGTAAACCAAGCTTATGCTATGGTTATTAGTGATGAAAGTCAAAAATCTATTGCAGCAAGTTTAGGATTATTAGGGGCAAATCATACTACTACCACATGGCAATATAATGTATACTAGAAGTGGAGGAAATTATCAGAAAACAAAGAAAAATTTCAATCTCTATTTGTGAGGTGTGCAAAATGAAGGGCCATAGCAAAGAAAACTGCTACAAAATAGTGTGATATCCAGCAGATCACTTCAGGTCAGAAAGAAAAATGGTAATCCTCATGTTGCCTACAATGTACTGATTGAAACTATGATGCAGAATCAACCACCAAGAATAGTTAATCAAGGATGGGCAGAAAATATGCAGAATGTTCAAATGCCAAACACAGGAGAAAATGCATATACACAAATGCAGAATAATTCACTAAACATGCTGAATCAACTAGGAAACTACACATTTACAAAGGAGAAGTATGATCACATAGTGCAGTTACTGAACAAAACCATTACAACATCTACTGCTACAAATGATCCTACAACAAATGCAGCAGGTATACCATGTGGCTTACTTGCATCAAATGGTTTGCAAGAATGGATAATATATATTGGTGCTACAAATCATATGGTAGGTGGCTTAGAATTATTAAACAAAGCTTCCATAGCTCAAACAAGTCAACCAAAGAAGGTATATCTACCAAATGGAGAAACAACTCAAGTCACACATATAGGGTCTAGTACTATAACAGACCAAAACACTATAACCAATGTGTTTTATATTCCTCAGTTCAAGTACAATCTGTTATCAGTTTCTAAGGTAACCAAGGAGCTGAAATGTTCAGTTGCTTTCTTTCCTGATTTTTGTATATTTCAGGAACTCTTCAGTGGGAGGGAAAGCGATTGGTAGAGAAGATAGTATGTATACATTCAAAGTAGACAATCAGTACAAAGGAATGAAGCAGTTAGTCTTGCAGCAAAGGAACTAGAGATAGTCTTCAATAAAGAGATCACTTCAAATGACATAGACCACTGGCACATAAGATTTAGCCATGTTTCTACTACTATATTGAAGAAGATACTCCCTGTAAAAGTAGAAGTAATATCTGCTAAAGTAGATAAATGTAGTATATGTCCCTGTGCCAAATTAACAAGGCAACCTTTTCCTATAAGCAGCATTAGAACTACTACTTGTTTTGAACTCATTCATATGGACTTATGGGGGCCTTACAAAATACCTACTTTTGATGGCAACAAGTATTTTCTAACTGTGGTTGATGACTTTACCAGAATGACATGGATATTTCTGCTAAAATTAAAGTTTGATGTATGTATAGTTGTGCAACAATTTCTTGTATTTGTCAAAACTCAGTTTGATAAATTAGTGAAAATGGTCGGAACTGATAATGGGATAGAATTTTTTAATTCAGTGTGTACTGATATGTTCAACAATCAAGGAATAGTTCATCAAAAAACATGCCCATATACCCCTCAGCAAAATTGGATAGCTGAGAGAAAACATAGACATCTCTTAGAAATAACTAGAGCAATTAGGTTCCAAGCTGGTATTCCCATAAGATTCTAGGGACATTGCATTCAAGCGGCTGTTTATCTCATCAATAGATTGCCTAGCACAATGTTTGAAAATAGAACTCCCTATGAGAAGTTAAATGGCAGAAAGCCATCTGTGCAGCATCTAAAGGTCATAGGGTGCCTATGCTATGCTAAAATAATTCAGCAGCATGATAAACTAATGCCTAGATCAAAGCCTTCTATTCATATGGGATATGTGATAAGTAGGGATTTTAACCTATTATTTGCTCTCTTTTACTTGTATTTTAGGCCAAAAATGCGTGAAGGTATTCCCAGAAACTAATGTAATGTGCTTGCTTGCAGGAGTTGTTCAAAATGAGCCAAATGAGTCATAATCAGCTCATAAAGGAGTTAAAACTTGAACAAAAACCAAGACTGGGCCAAGAGATCTGAAATGCAGATCGCAAAAATATTGTGCGGCCGCGAAAGCCACAACGCAGCCCCGATCAGAAATACACGGTCCGCAAAAGGGAGATTCAGAGAGTTGCATTTTTAGGCTAAATGATAAGTGCAGACCGCACCAGAAATGTGCGACCACGATGGAATTTATGCGGACCGCGATGCATGAAGTTTAGAGAGCTCACAACTTGAGCAAAAGAAAGAGGTGCGGCTGTGCCAGAATTGTGTGGCCGTAAAAGTCCCTTTCGCGGCCGCGATTGAAACTATGCGGTCCGCGAAACTCAGCTCAACCCAGATCCAGATCTTAAGAACACGGATCGCGATCCGAATTATGCGGACACGAAAGTAAGAATGCGGCCGCGCTCAAAATTACGCAGCCGCACAACCTTCGCAGGGATATTTTTGTCCGAAAATTTCAGCTTAGTATAAATAGAACTTTTTGTCATTTTTAGGTTATGTTATGTAATAAAGGAGCACCTGAGACGGCTTGGTTTACTGCTTTTGGAAAGTTTGTACTAGATTCATCTTTTAACATTAGATTTTCATCCTTTAATCTAGTATTATGAATTTTATCTTCTTTTCATCTTTGATTTCTGTTATTTCCATGAGTAGCTAGACCCATATCTAGGGTTGTGATCCAACCCTAGTGTGGGTATTTTATGGATATTGAATTTTAGGGCTTGAATGTGTATAAGTTAGTGATATTTAGCCTAGTTCTTGCTAGAACTATAGAATTAGTGATTGCAAATACTGATTCACGCCTTTATGACTTAGTCTCTACTTGAGAAAGAGGGATTAAGTCTAGGAAAACTAGGCTAACAAGGAATTGGGGTGAACTCAAAAAATTGATAGCCCCAATTAAAGGGTTAAACCTAGAGATAGTAATACCCGACTTGAGCTAATATCACTTGAATTGCATGAATACCCATTTGGACTTGAAAAAGCCAAATTGGGCAAAATCACTCAAACTACCGAGAGGTATAGAGTGAGTACTCGAGTGTGATAGCTATATTACGACTCCATTCTAATCACGAGCTTTCCCTAGATTCTTGCTACCCGTTAGATATCCACCTAGGTAGAAGTCACTACTCTAGAGTCCTTAAACCCCTGAAAATTAACAACAAAAATATTATACTTATTTTCAAATATTGCATAAAATAGAATAGAGTTAGAAGTAGAATCTAACCCTACATTTGTGGAAGTGTAATTAAAAGCAAAACTCGCATCTAGACTTAGATATAAACCTAATTCCAAAAAAATTAACTCCCTGTGGATTCGATCCCGACCTAATTGGGTAAAACTGCATCGACCACCCTCGT